CTGTTATAAAGGTAAGGTTTCAACTTGTTAGTTCAAGTTTTCATCAACAACTTGTTCAAAACTTCACTACAGTATCACCTCCATTAATTAAAACTGTAAAGAATATAAACACATCAAGTTGAAGATCCAATCAGAGAACTGTAAGAAATGTCTGAAGACTAACTTCTTATAAATAAATACAGAATATGTTTTAAGTTATTGAGTTAACGTAGTACAGATTAACAAGTCAGTCCTTAGAATTGAATCAGAAACGATCGAACGTCAGTATGTGATTTACCGTGTTATGGTGGAACGAATAAGTGTTTGTTTGGAATTAATCACAAAGCTACACAATCAGTGCTAGCCTTTCCTAAATGTTAATTGGTAGATTAGAGAGAAGGCAGCTAGTTAACACAACCCACCGCCAACCGTTACATTACAAAGTCTTCACGACATTTTTTTGGTGGTAAGATTCGAACCCGCGTCGAATGCCGTAACCACCAAGCCATGCCAGGTCCCTGTGAATTAAGAAACAGGAAAGTTGATGACAATTTTTTAATGTTTTATATTCGTAAGTTTTCCTGCCAGAAATGACAATAAAGTCGAATGAGGCACCAAATCTAAATTGCACATTTTATTCTTCCTCTAGGAGACGGACACCAGATTGAGAAGCGACAAGTCACATGTCCTTCTGTTGCCAACATCAACAACTATCTAGATCAGGTGATTAATAACGCTAAGTCTGAGATACCCGATCCCTTAAGTCTTCCAGATAAAAACGATAAGGTCCAGCTAAGAAATGGTAAAATAGAGGGCCTGTCTACTCTGTACCGCAGTGGAGACGCTAAGATATCTTGCACCGGCAGTGCGATATCCCTGGAGGTCAACTTAGGTGCTCGTCGTCTGAGAGGTGGATATGATTGGAAGAAAAAAATCCTTTTTGTCAAACTTAGGGGTAGAGTCAGTGCAAAAGTGAGAAGTTTTTCAGTCTATGGTAAAATCACCCTGAAGCTAGCCCCTGGAGCTCACCCATCTATCGAAAGGTTTGATATCACCAATTTTAAGAGACTTACAGCTAGCGTCACGGGGCTAGGTCCTATCGGGTGGACAATTTCTGCAATCGTAACTCTTTTAGGGAGAATTTTCAAAAGAGCTGTAGCCAATGCTCTTGAAAGGCCAATACGTAAAGCTTTAAACAAACAGCTACAGAAAGTCAACTTTCCAATTCCTTAAATATCGGAGCATGAATGAACACTGGGTGGTAGTTGTTATCCTGTTATCAGTAAAAAACTTTCTTAGTTGAGTCACTACAGTGTCTTGGAGCCGTTCAACCAGAGAACACCGAGGACTCGCTTTGTATTAATTCTATGAATAACTTTAATAAAATGAGTAGTTCATTCAATGTATTGAATGTCTGTTTAATTTATATTGTTTCGGTATATATTTGTCACTTTATTATGCTGTGAAATATATATTTTACAAAAGGTCACTACAACTTAATATTAAATGTGAGGTTATTACTCAAACTAGGCAAATGACGTGACAACCACATGCGATATGAAATCACAGTGAAACATGTTTATAGATTGTTGGGCATTAGTTAGGTAGTTTGATTTCACGAAAACTTATCGCTTTTGAGAAGAGTATGTAACATCTCTTTCTAAAACAGTGATATACATTGTTCTGAAATTCATTATAAAACTAGGGAGGATGGATCAACCTGGGATACCAGGACCATTCAGAAAAAGGACTGCAACAAGTCGCAATCCAGTCTTATGAAGCAATGTGCAACGTTTTCTAACAGATGAGAATCTGCGAACACCAAACTCAATGGTAAAAGCTGTTCCCCTTCCCCCAAATATCTATATATGTAATCGAAACTTCTACTATTCCCCTTCCCCCAGGAAACAGTACGGAAGATAATAAAGAACGATCTCCGTCTGTGAAAGTAACACATATTCACGTGCACACAAGTTACTTCCCTGACATATCTTACTATAGTGAACGTTGCATGTATGTCAGTATCTATGTATTTAACCAAAACTCCTGCACCATTTATTGAATGGTGCTATAAAAAATCACACTTTGGGTATTTAAGATTCAGACAATTTGAAAAATAACTGTGATATGTACAACAACCATTTCTTTACAATATAACACAATTTTATATAAAATTACTCTCCTCACAACAAGAACACGACTTTCACTAAAACTGTACGTGAGGGTTTCATTATATCTTTATTGATGTAATTTTTAAATGTAGTACTGATAAACTGAAAAAGTAATATTTTTTTCAATGAACATTACCACTTTTAACGTATAAAAACATTACAGTTTATATCAGTAAAACTTATGAAAATTTTGAGCTCTGTACGTTGAATCATTTTGATGCAATGAGTTGTATTTGACTAAAGAAC